GAGGAGGAGGAGGAGGAGGAGGAGGAGGAGGAGGAGGAAGCGTGGGAAAGAAGCTGGAGCGCCAACGCGGCACTTTGCTGCCCGACCTCGAGAAGGAGAGCCTCGTGGCGAAGCAGCTGGAGTCCCCCGTGGGCAGCTGAGCTCGAGGAGCTGCGGGCTAAATGGGCGGCGTTGGCCAATAAGTTGCAGGAGGAGCGCAGCAAAGTGGACAATCGCCACACTGCGGCAGCGCAGCCGTGCGGCAGCTCGTCAGCGGCCTGGGAGAAGTTCTTGCTGGAGGCGGCTCCGCAAGATGGCGACGGCGATGCTGCCCAAATGCCCGAGGCCTTCACGTGTGTGCTCAATGAGCTCACCGGCAAGGTCAAGGGCACGCCACAGTGCCCTCCACCTGCAGCTGCAGCTGAGGCCCCTGCAAAGGAGGAAGCACCCGCTGGCGTAGCTTCAGCTGCGGCTTCGGAGGCTGCCGAATTACCTGTGCCACAATACATGGAGCTTGATGACGGGACAGAGCAGAAGCGTAGTGACCTCATCGATGAGCTGCTACAGAGCATGCCCGAGGAGGAGCGCGCCACCACGAGGTAGGGGCATCAGGGGCTCGGCTCCACGCGCATGCCTCACGAAACGGCCAATGCAATGGCACCTCTCCTTTGACCTGCGTGAGCCCTTCCGGCACTTTGGGGGGCGGATCTCATGCCGTCTCGCTGCGGGCGCAGCGGGGCGATGGCGTAGGAAGAAGAGTGGGCGCGTCGTGATCAACGGCGCGTCGTGATGGTGACGTTCAATACTAAATCTGCCGCGGCACAGAGTTCAGGAGCTCTTGGAGGAAGAGGTCCAGGCAATCATCGGCGAGTGCGGCATGCCCGCAATGGCAATGCAATGGCATGACAAGCCTGCAGACTGGCTCCACGTCGCAACTGCTGCTAAAAATATCAAGTGGCGCGTCACTGGGGCCGCCGCAATCAACACGGCAGATGGCGGTACTTCCGCTGGAGTCGCGCTCCCCACTGCGATGAACATGGCGCAAGATCTGAAATCGTGGGACATCCCGCCTGAGGTTAATGCTGACAAGCCCTGCTTAGGTATCACAGAAATGCGTGGCATTGGATGGGTGGCTTTCTTCTCTGTCTATATTCGGACTGGGAGACCCGTGACATGGGCTGCCAAAGCGGCGGTACTAGACACCTTTGTGGACCGTGTCATGAAATTGCGTATCCCTTGGTTTATTATGGGCGACTTCATTATCGAGCCCAGGTCGATTGGGGACAGCCCTTGGAACCAGGAGGCGAAGGGCCACGTGATAGCGTGGTTTGGCGAAGGTGGCACATGCAAGTTCAAGTCGACTAAACAAACAATCGAGTGCTTCATCGACCGCGTGATCGCCTTCTTCTGGATGGATGCCCGCATGGCGGGAGTGTTTGATGATGTGCTCTCCTTCGAGACTATGCCATACAGGCCACACCGTCCCACCTGGTTGAGGGCGAACAAGCCATGGACCGCCTACAATATTTAGGTTGTTAAGAGGCCGAACCAATACCCATTCACGAAGCCACCGCCTATCCTTCTGCCGACGCCCGTCGCGTTCCCAAAGGTCGATGCTGTGGACAGCCAGGAGATGCTGGACCAGTCGAGAGCCGAATTCTACGAGTGCGCGGAGGCGCGACTTGTTCAGTTTGGGCCGCTGCCCAGGCCGCGAAGTACCAAGGTCGGGCACATTTCCTGATATGTTGCAGGAGGAGCCCTGTCCCAAGCTATCTAGCCCTGTCGCTGATCGCGGCCCTGCGAGTGCCTGGCGCTGGGCTGAGGGGGAGCTGGCCTGGATTGACAAGACGGGGGCCTGCCTTCCTGATGGCTTTGACCGACCCGTCGAAGTGCATCCCCACCGTCGCCATCGTTGGCACCATCAACACGCCCCTTCAGTTCTGCGGGCAGAGAATCACATCATGGGATGCTCACGTGATGCGATGGAAGTTATGCCATTTTTACAACCTGCTCAACGACAAGTTTCCTGGATCTGGAAGCTGCTTCACAGTATATGCCACTGAACGCAAGCTTGGAAAAAGCCCATCTCCACGGTCAAGAAGGTCCAACTTCCACCCGACCCTCAAGCGGTTGTCACGGCTGAGTCGGCGGAAGGGGAAACCAGATGGAGAGTGGGAATCGGAAACTATCAGAAGCTACGCCAAGATCCTCAAATTGAACGTATGCGAGCCCAGAGTTCACAACAGCTGCCCGTCATCGATGCCAAGCAACTGAGGACCACCTGCAGGAATTACAAATGGACGACGGGGCTCTGGATTGGCGGTCGGCATTTTGGGCATCTTGGATGGCTCAAGGACGAGTGCCTCGGTTGCCTGGCCAAAATCATCATGAATTGTGAAGTTCCATGTGCGTGGCCGACATCCCTAGGACGAACAGGTTCCCCCGTGGTGCGGTTGCGACTTTGGTTTGGGTTTGTGTTGCGGTGCCCCAAGACGGCCCCCCGAAGGCCCCGAGACGGCCCAAGAGGCCTCCAAGACGCCCAGGATGGCCTTCAAGACGACCCTGAAGGGCCCCAAGAGGGCCGCAAAGCTGCCCAAAGAGGCTTTCAAGACGGCTTCCGATGGCGTCAGACGGGCCAGGAGCGCTGTACGACGACCAAAGCAGCCTCCAAGAAATCCCCAACGGCCCCCAAAAGGCCCAAGGAGGCCTCCAAGAGGCCTCCCGGAAACTCCCAAGAACCCCCAAGAATGACCCAAGCAACTCCCAAGAAATCTCATCCATCTCCTCATCCGCCTGTATTCTCCCTCTCCTCATCCTCCTCTTCCTCCCCCACGTGTTCCTCGAGGGGCTTCCACAACGGCGGGGGGATAGGAGGGTCCAATAGAGTCGCCAAGCTTTGCCTAAGCGTTTGGCCACATAGACGTGTCCTCATAGACACAGGGGGTGGTGGTGATTCGCCGCAAGCGTCTTCGATCATATTAATATTATAAAAGAGTGAGAGGTGCATGGGAAACCCCGAAATCAACTATGAATCCAAAAGTGTCCAGGGCCTCGCGGCCGAACGGGAACCCAACCATGTCTTCCTCGATCCCGCGGTCATCACTTTTTAATCCAACGGGTTGTACAAATGCGAGGGTAGAAAATACGCTGCTGTGCGCAAACGCTTCACCGATTCAAGAAAAAAACACACAGCTTCCGTGACATTGTGTAATTGGGGATCGCCGCAGCGGGCCAGGAATCACATGCAAATGAGTTGAAATGGGCTTGAAGTTCGATCGCCGACCCAATCTTCGACTACACTGTCCCCGTTCCGCCCGACACCTTCCAGGTAGGTGATGCGATCAATATTCGTACGCTTTCTGGATGGGTGGTTACCGACGGGAGTGTTCTGAATCCTGACATAGAAGACTTGCCCGTAGGTGGTTTTGCTGCGGTTTCCCGGGACGATGGGCGAAACGTTGAGGCTCAGTCGGTTTTCGGACCCGTCCCTTTTCCCAGGCCGACCTCCTTGGTTTGCGAGGTTTGGGCGGTCTTCCAGGCTGTTCAAATTTCTGTGGGCCTCGAATGGCTGATCATTTACAAGAAGCATACAGTCGACTGCATTGTAAATGGGAAAGCCTTCAGTGCTGCTTCTGATCAGATCACTGCTCACCTCTGGCGCCGTGTTTAGGATGCCCTGAATGGCCAACTATTGGTGCCAAATGAATATTTGGGGAAACCAAAAAAGTAATACTGATACCGCTATTCCACGGACCTCTCCTGGGGTGTGTTCTGACTAGGATTTCGAGGCGAATCCATGGGTGGCGACGAGGGCCTCCCGAAAGACCCCCCAAAAGCGAAAACGAGGCAGGGATAGCAGTATGGGTACCTTTTCCTCCTCTAACTCTTCGCCCATTGCTAAGATTAAGTCCCACACGACTGTTTCTCAGCGTGGGCCCTGGGGCCCAATGGGGGGCCCACCACTATCTCACGAATAGGGCGGCGGGCGCTCGTGCCAGAGAAGGGGCTGAGCCCCTATGCTCCACCCAGTTGGCGGGTCAGACAAGCCAGGACCCCCTGCAAGCTGCAGGGAAGAGTACTGAGGGATGTCAGCAGTTCGACGGTCGAGCTGAGCAGCAGCAAAGTGGCCACCACCCCTCTCCCTCCGTCGAGCACTCGGCTTTGGAGAGGCGAGCGAGGACGCCGCCCGACCGTGGTCTCCCCGCGCGGCCCTGGCCACCAGTTTCAGGCTGCCCGCTGGGGGTCGGTGGCGCTGCTGCGACTGCCCCCAGGCTGGTCAAGCTTGCGGCCGAGGTGGCAGCCCGTGGGGCCTACCTTGCTCCGTACCCTGCTTCTCTCTCCCCCCCCCAGCCCGCGTGAACATGACGTGGTGGAGCGTGCGGGGTACAGTCTTGGCGTTGACTTAAGGAGCCCCAAATAAGGAACGGGGCCCCTTTTCTTCCAGAAGTTAAGCGTTGACTTCCCATAGCAAGCCTAAGGAAAACCAAAGGCCACCTGCGAAACTCTTAGGGAACACGGAGCCCCGCCCCAACGCAAAGGGTTCCTTCTTCAGCGCCCCGACTGTATGTCGTTCGCCGCGTATGTGGGACTTTCGCCCCTTCCCGTGCCCAAAGGGTGTTGCGAGAATGCGACGACCCCCTGCGCAAAGAGGTGTCGGCCCATACGAATCGGCGCCGCTATCATGACCGCATCCTGGAGGGGCGGGACGACGGATGTGGCCGTGAAAGTGGATTGGTTGTTTGACAGTTTTGTTCGACTCCGATCCCTACGCGATCCTCGCTCGGGAAAGGTGTTTGTGGCCAAGTCGTTGTGTGGTCTGGGGGCCCCGCCTGCACAGGCCCCCCGTCAGCAAAAAGGAGGGAGGAAGAGGGCAGGGGGGGCGAGAGGGAGGGGAGGAATGGACAGGGGAAGGGGAGGCGAAGAGGAAGGGGGGGTCGCGAGGGAAGCAGGGGAGGGACGGAGGGCGATGATGGGGATGGGGTGGGGGAAGGCATGGAGAGTCGAGGAGGGGATGGAGAGTCGAGTCGAGGGAGGCAGAGGGGACGGAGAATGGAGGAGGGAAGGCCAGCGGGCCCCTGGCGGCCAGGGTCACTTGTCGGCCTTGTGCTTCTTGCTCTTCTTCTGCTTCTCGGGGGCCACGGGGGCCGGCGCAGGCAGCTCGGCGGGGGCCCCGGCGGGAGCCCTGTCCTCCCTCTTCCTCTTCGTGCCGGACCTGAACTCCTCTATGTCCTGGAGATAGGGGGCCACACGAAAGCACAAACTGTCGGAGGCCCCGACGGATTGCTCGCGTCGGCGCCGGGCCCTCCGTCCCCGCACCCGTTCCCCTGCGAGCAGAGCGCGCCGAGGGCGGCGCCGGAGGCGCCGCCGTCTTCGGCGGCGAAGGGGGCCAACGCCAAAGCAATAAGTCAGCACGGACCTCGGAAAGTGTACGCTTTTTCATTGCTCCTTCGACGTCCTTTTTGTGCCGATCTATCTCCGCCCTCGTCTCCTTCAGCTGCTGCCCCAGTTCGGCGATCTTCCTCTGCATGCGCTCGTTCTCGGCGTCCACCTGCTCAGCGTGCTGGTCGAACTCGCCGATGCGCTGCCTCAGCTGCAGGCGCTTCCGCCTCTCCACGGTCAGCTGTATCCGCAGCATCTGGACGCGCTCCTCCAGGATACCAAGGGGCAGCGCAGACAGACACCAGCCCTCGGACGCCCGTAAGCGGCCCCTCCGGCACAGGACTCTATCCCCGCACCCCCTGTCCCCGATGGCGCCGCAGGGGTTCGGGTGTTGCTGCGACAGGTCCAGGCCCAGAAATTGCTCCCAGCTCTTCGCTGGGCGTGAATTTCTGGGGGGCGATCAGTGGGGGGGAAGAAAGGTGCACTTTCGGGCCCTAGAGGGCCCCTTTTCGGCAACCCTCGCTGCCCCCCATTTACCGTCCCCCCCCCGTTGCGCGAGGCCCAACTTCGCGCCATTTTCGCGCCTCTGGGGTCTTCTGGGCCTCGTGGGGGGGCGCCCCGTGGAGGCCGTCTGGGCCCTGACGCCCGCGCCGCGAGGCCGCCCAGAGACGCCCGGGGAGCGTCTGCTCTCGTGAGCTGTTCGTGTCGGCCCCGTGCCCGTCCTCGCCCAGCTGCCTCCCCAGCTCCGAGTTCTCCTCCAGCAGGTGCTTGCACTTCTGCAGCAGCTTCTGCCCCTGGGCAGGGGCGGGCGCGCCCTCCCCCTCGCTCCTCCCTCCTCCTCTGCCCCTCCCCCCCCCCAATGAGCAGGAGGAGGAGGAGGAGGAGGAGGAGGAGGAGGAGGAGGAGGAGCAGGAGGAGGAGGAACAAGGATGAGGATGAGGAAGAGGAACAAGGATGAGGATGAGGATGAGGAGGAGGAGGAGGAGGGAGGAGGAGGGAAGCAGCTGAATCCGGTAGGGAATGAAAGAATTTACTCTGGAGTTAATCCGCAAGGAAGAGGGTACGGCGATCCTTCCTGGGAAGAATCAGCTCTGGAGCTAATCCACCGGAAAACCAGTAGCAAGATCCATTACGAACAAACAAATCCGGAGTTAATCCTCAAGGGAAGGGTGGATCTGGAAAAAAGAATTAACTCCGGAATCATCCACGGGTGAAGGGTGGATCCAGGCGCCGCGCGTCAACTCCGGAGTAGATCCACCAAGGAGGGCTGGATCGCGGTGCCGCTCTGGGCTCCGCGAGTTAAGTCCCGAGGTAATCCACGGGGGAGGCGCGGATCAGAGGCCGCGTTGGGCGCCTCCAGGCGGCCTCCGAGAGGCGCTCCAAGAGGCCTCTGAGAGGCGCCCCAGGAGGCATGCGAGAGGCGCCCCAGGCGGCCTCTGAGACTCCCCCCAGGCGGCCTCTGAGAGGGCCCCCAGAAGCCTCGGAGAGGCGCCACAGGAAGCCTCTGAGAAGCGCCCCATGAAGCTTCTGATCCACCCCTCCCCTGTGGATTACCTCCAGAGATAATTCACAAGAAACGGGTGGATCCAGGCGCCGCCTTGGGCCGGAGTGAATCCAGGGGGGGGGATCAGAGGCCTCCTGGGGGGCCTCCACGAGGCCTCTTGGGGCGCCTCCAAGAGGCGTCCTGTGAGGTCCTGGGTGGCCTCTCGAAAGGCCATCTGGGGGCTTTTCAAAGGTCTCCTGGGGCGCCTCTCAGAAGTCCTCTGGGGCGCTTCCCAGACGTTTCCTGGAGCGTCTCTGCCTCTGAAAGGCGCCGCAGGAGGCGTCAGAGATAGACGCGCCCCTCAGCTTGCAACAATCCGCGCGAACAAGCCTTAAACTCTAAACCTCGTGCCGTCTTGTTTCACAACGAACTCGACGCAAACACGCAAGCAGGATACTGATGATGGAACTGTTTTAGGTGATGTAAGCAATGGTGTTGACCAAATAAGCGCGACGATGATGATGGTGAGGTTGATGATGGTGATGATGACCACGTGGACGATGATGACGCCGCGGATGGGCACGGTGACGATGATGCTTATGAATGCAGCGCATGTATTGGTACTTGTGATGCGACGTTGGTGACGGTAAGGGTTATGAAGGTGATACCCATAAATGTAATGCTGCTTTGGCTGATTCTAGTGATGGCAATACTACGAAAACGAAAATGAACATGGTAAAGAAAATTGTCGTGACGATACACGTGATGATGATGATCTAAGTCGTGATGGTGGGGCTCATGCGAATTAAAGTGATGATGGCGAAGCTGATGAGGGGTTCGATAGATAAAACGGACGATGACGACGATGGGTAAAAGGGGATCATGAACACCATGAGGATGGTGACGGTGATCGTGATGAAGCCGACGGCGGTGGTCGCAACGATCTCGTTTCTGATGAAACATATCATAAGGATCACATTGATGGCGACGCTGGAAATCTACATGATGATGACGACGACGACCATGCGATGGGCGATTTTCAACCTGATGATGGATTTGATGCTGAAGATGGCACGCGGGATGGTGCATAAAGGGGTGGTTATTCGGGGGAGGAGGACGGTGGCGAGGATCATGATGGTCACGGTGTTCACCATCGTCTTGCCGATGATGATCGTGTGGATCGTGATGAGGGTGGGCGCAATGCTAATTCAGTTGCTGCGCAATGGTGATGCTGGTGACGCTGGCGAAGCTGGGAACGTCGCCAAAACACGGTCTGCGCTGGGACAGTGGCGGAACCTGCCGCAAGCAGCTGAATAGATGCGCGCGTGTTCTTGGCGACCCACTCTTTGAGCTCGCCGACGCAAAGCCTGGGGGTGCGCGGGGGCCGAAGTTTCCGCCTCTGCGCCCTCGGCGCGCCAGGGCCACGGCTGCTTCAATGTGTCATCTCATGGTCCATCCAACGCCCTGGGCGTCGGTATACTAACGTGTTCTCCCTCCCCGCTTCTAAAAGTCACTATCGGTCAGAGCGCCCAAGATGGCCCGAGACGGGTTCAAGGAGGCGGCCGCGCGTGACCTTAGACGCGCTTCCGAAAGCTTCCAAGAGAGGCCCCAAGATAATGCCAAAAGGGGCTCGCCAGACACCCACTGGATACCCCCGACAGACTTCGATGCTGAAGTTCCCTCCCCGCTGCGTGGCCGCGCCAGCGCGGCGGCGCGGTGAGCCGCGGGCGCCCAGGTAATCGCTGGAGTATGGCACTTGTTCTTGATCTGCCCCTGGAAGGCCGCGTGAAACCAGGGGCCTGTTGCTGCTCCATGTTCTTTCTCGCGACGTCCGGGGCGGCGCCCTCTGCGAACTTCTTGGCGATTTCCCAAACTGCGCGGCGGGAATGCGACTTCAGCGGACAATCTCCCTGTTTCTCCGCCTTCAAGACTTGTTCGCGCCCTGGCGCAAGAGGCAGAAACGAAAGACACCTTTCGCGCGTGCACCCATCGCGCTTCGCGCACTTCGGCGACATACCTTTTCCGCCGTCGACGCTCGTTGAGGACAGGTGCAACATGAAGACTCGCTGGGGTCCACTGTGAAGCGCCGAGAGCGCGCTGCATCCAAAATCTGCGACCGACACGGCGCCGGCGACGTTCGCATCGCAAATCGCGAAGCGGACGCCCATGGAAGACCTTCACCGCTGGGCGGGCCCTCGCGCGCGCCACCCCGGCTGCGGCAAGCAGAAGCTGCGTTTGCCCAGCGCTCGTGCCTTGGCGTGCGTCAAACGAGCCTCCCTCAGCTTGACCCCCAGCTTGATGTTCAGTGTCCCGCGCGCCCGCCAGGGTCCCCGCTTGCGCCCGCGCCGTCGTGGCGGGCGGCTGGAAGTGGCGCAGCCTCATCGGGGGCGTCCGCATGGGCCTGCGACGATTGGCTAGCTGCGCCCACGGCAATCTCTGGCGGCGGAAGATCATCTGCAGCCTCATCGGCCGCAACCTAATCGGCAGCCTCGTCAGGAACCGACGGAGCACACGGCGAGCTGCTTGCTGTGCCCGTGAAGTGGTCGGACATGTCCGCGTAGCGGAGCTCGGCGCCAACTCTCGAGGGCCAAACCGCGAACGCGAATGCCTCGCGTCGCCGCCTCGCGGAGGCCGCGGCCTTCCATATTTGGACTGTCCTTCTCCGCGCAGGGCCTGCGTTTTCCCCGACCCCCGCGCGCCCGAGACACTGGCGGAGGCGGCGCCGCGACCGCGTCCCCGTCCACGACGTGCTCCTGCTCAAGGCCGAACTGTCCATCGTTCGCGAGGGCTACCTCGGAACCCCACGGGATTGCAATCCTCAGATCAAATGGGTCGAGAATTCCTGATGCACAGCCCCGCGAAAAATGTTGCGAAGGTGGGAGGGGCCAGACACGGAATATGCAAGGGACGGTGCAGACAAACGCGCTATGTCCACCAGGTCCTGCTCGCATAAAGCCAGCGCCGACGGTATCACGAAGGGACCATCTGTGACGAACTCTCCTGTTGTCAGCCTCCGGCGTGCTGATCGGTGTACCCCTCCGCCATTTGGAGCTGCCCGTTAGCGCGGGCGACACAATGCACGAAGATCAGAACGCTCATGGCCGCAACGTGAACGATACGGTACTGTAAGCGAACTGCGGAGCGGATTGGTCCAGAACGCCTTTGATTGAGAACCGAGGCAAAGAAACAACAGCCTCTTGAAGAACAACGCGGTGGAAAACTACGAGAACATGGACGCTGGTGGTTGATAGGTCTGGGAAGCTCAGTGGTTTTCCAAGGGCTCCTAAGTTCGCGCTTCGCGCTGCGCGAAGCGCGAATAACTTCGCGCTCTCGCGCCGCCCTCCCAAAGGGAGAAGAGGAGGACGAGGAGGAGGGGGAGGAGGAAGGAGGACCGCGAAGCGCGAAGCGCGAATAACTTCGCGCCCTCGTGGGAGCCCTTGTTTTCGGGCTATAACTCGGGCCTCCCGCAGCCATTCGGCACGATGCGGGGTAACTACAAGCCTACAAACCACAACGCTGTCGGCGCAGCGCAGCTGCTGAGGGCATCCCGTGGCTGGAAAGCCTCTTGGGGCCGACAGCAACGTCGCAGATGTCTGGGCCCATCTCGCATGCAGCCGAAACCAATAGCGATGACATGTCCCCCGGGGTCAATGCAAACCCGGGCCAGTCGGGTCTTGCAAGATCCTGCAGGATCCTGCGCGCTGACCCAGGTCCAGTCCAAGCAACCCTGGCCCTGCAGGATCCTGCAAGATCCAGCGCTCTGGCTGACCCCCGATTGCATGGACCCCGTCTCTTGCAGCTCGACTCCCGCCCGCCCTCCCTCCTACGGGGCCCACAAAAGTGTACGCGCCCAACCACGTACATGAATACAGCCCTCCAGTCTGCGAGACCGCCTTGTGATACGAGAGTTCGAGCAGTGCGTACTGTCGAAACCGATGTGGACTCATGCGCGTGAACGTCTTTCTTTCGCTCTTGACCTCCTTCGCTTCCTCCAGTCCAGACATTTCGGGTCGCACGAAAAGGGGGGATAGCAAAGTGGCGGTTGGCGAATCCGCTTACGTAGCTGATTTCCCCGGCGCCTCCCAGCGCTGGAGGCGCCAATGTATCGAGGAAAAGCGCCTGGCGGTGGGGCCGCGAGCGGCTCGTGACTCTTCCACGCCGTGGCTCCCGCTCCGGCGGCGGGGGGGAGGGCGATCGGGCATGCCCCATTCCCGATGGGGTGTGCCCGATCGCGCTCGGGCGGCGGGGGCGATCGGGCATGTCCCAGTCCCGATGCGGTATGCCCGATCGCGCGCCCCCGTCCGGCAAATTGTGCTCCCTTTTTTGGACGCCCGACATGGGTGCGGAAGAAGTGTGTGTACGATGCGCCACAGAAGAGGCTCTTAATTTGTAAGGAGTTAATATTTGATTAACTCCTGGTTTCATCCGTTTCGCAGGAGGAGAAAGAAGGAGGAGGATGAGGAGGATGAGGAGGATGAGGAATCGGATGAGGAGGAGGAGGATGATGATGATGAGGAGGAGGAGGAGGACCAGCGCAAACCCAAGGGTCATCAACGATGTTGGAATAACCCCTCCCTCCAAGCTCCCTCTTCATAGGCCCCTACAACGGTTCATTCCCACTGAGGGAACTGCCTCGTTGGAAGACAACTGTTTGAAGACCCTGACGCATGCCGAAACATTGTTCTCGCGATTCCAACGCCGCGGATCAACCTGACTGTTGCAATTTGACTATCCTGAATCGTGCCAGAACTCCGTTCCTGGGGCTTCAACACCGCGAATCAACGAAACTGTTGCACCGGTATAATCCTGAGTCCTTCCCAAACACCATTTCTGGTACGTTGATCATGGGAACCCGTGAACATCTTGCAATTTGTTATAACGAATGTGCGCGGCGCCAAAGCGAGAGCCACATATTGAGAAAGGAACTGCCCTCAAGCTTTGAAGCTCGTGTTGCAAATGTTTAAAACGAATGTGCGCGGCGCTAAGGCGAGAGCCACATTTTGAAAACGGCCCGCCATCAATCAATGAAACTCTTGTAAACATTCAAACGAACGTGCGCAGCGATAATGCGATAACCACATTTGAAGACCATCCGCCCTCAATCCGTGAACATCTTGTATTTTTGCAGCAAATGTGCACGGCGCTAAGACGGGAGCCACATTTTGAAAACCACCCGCCCTCCATCTGTGAAGCTGTTGTCAATTTCTAAGCTTCAGGGTCATAAATGGTGGGGATTTTGCAGGCGAAACGCCCGCCCGCCCCAAAAACTGGCCTCGGGGTGCAACAGGGAGAAGTTATCCATAAGGAAAAATAATGGAGGAGGAGCAGGAAGAGGAGGATGAGGAGGAAGAAGCGGATGAGGAGGAAGAGGAGAAGGAAGAGGAGGAGAACGGAGGAGGAGAAGGAGGAGGAGGAGGAGGAGGAGCAGGAGTGGCAGAAGCGGGAGAAGCAGGATGATGAGGGGAAGGCGGGGGAGGGGAAGGGAGCGGGGCGACAACGATGAGGAAGCACTTGGATCCAGAACGCTGGGGCCAGAGCGCCATTCTAAACAATGGGAGCAGGGAGCCGATCCTACAGCGGGAACACCGTTCTGAGACACAGAAGACGTTCCAATTGAAACATCAGCATCGGAAATACCACATTATGACATTCGGTGCAAGAAGAAATACGCGAAGAGACCGAGACAACCTCCGCACAGCGTCGGGGAGACGGGGGACCGGTATTCGTAAAGGGGGAGGGAGGGAGGGAGGAGGCATGATGGATGAGGGAAGGAGGGAGGGAGATGCGAGGGCGGAGGACGCAAGAGTGGGAGGGAGGGGGGGGGAGGACTAGCCGTCCTGGATGCTGTTCGGCTGGAACTGCGCGTTGGAGGACTCCTCGGGGGTGGCGGCGGCAGCGACGGACGTCAGCGACGGTGGAAGGCAGCGGCAGGAGAGCGAGCGAGTACCCTCTGCGGCAACGCAGGCCACTCGATATCGGCTGGTTTCGGGCCGCTTGCGGCGTTCAGCCTTGAACTCTCGCGCCGGGGGCGCCGCCGCGTCGACGGGGCGGGAACCTACTGTACCTACACTCTGCGCGTGGGTTCGTGCGTGGGCCGCGCTCAATACGAATGCGTTGCTGAAGCTGGAGCCAAGCCTTTTGACTGCTGGAGCGCTCGCGCTCAGTCTAAATGCAGTGCTGGAACCAACGCCGCGGGTTCCTGGAACCACTTTTCCTTCATGAACTTTCGGTGCTGGAGCCCACGCCGTTGGCTGCCGGAACACTCGCGCTCGGTAAGAATACAGTGATGGAGCCCACCTTTCTTGTCGGCGTAGTCTGCTGGAACGACTTTCTGTTGTAAAAATTGGCTTCTGGAGCCCACTCGGTGGGTGCTGGAACCACTGTTCCTAATAAAATTTGAGTGATGGAGCCCACCGTTCTTGCCAGCATAATCTTCCGGAACCGCTCTCTCGTCAGAATGGGGTACTGGCCTACGCCGTGGGTTGCTGGAACCACTGTCCCTCGTAAAATTAGGGTGCTGGAACCCACCCCTCTTGTCAACATGATTTGCTGGAACGACTTCCCCTCGTAAGAATCAAGCGCTGGAGCCTCACCTTGGGCTTTAAACAATTAAGCCAGGCGGGGAGGGGGGGATGGGCCGGGTCCGGGGGTGGGGGTCCAAGCATTGTAATCGTGCCTCGCTCGCAAACGAGGGCAGTTCGCGCACGCGTGCGTGAGCGCGCGTGCCCGAGCGATCCCGACCCCGAGCCCGAGCCCGAACCCGCGCCCGATCCTGAGCGCGTGCGCGATCGCGCGCGTGTTCTTGATTATGTGTGTGTGTGAGGTTACAATACGGGTCAAAATGGTGATGGGACCCACGAACACACCCAGGACGCTGCCCAGGAGACCTGAACACCCCACGCAAACCGATGGTGCAAGGCGGCACCCGCCATCTCCGCCTCCAAACATGAACTCTAACGATCCGATGCCTCGTCCGGTGCGCCCGCCGAACAGACCCGAACTCAATGATCTCCTGGCTCGGCTACCACGAGGGCGAGGGGTAGCGCCAGAACTGCTGCAGTCGCTTCGCGCCACGGCTGCGAGACTTGCGTTGGGCACCAGGACTGTACACGTCCCAGACGCGCGGATTGCGGAATTGGGGGGCAGGTTTGCCGCGTGTGACGGCCGCACTACGGCGGTACACACGCAGCCGACCTCCATGGAGCATGCGATTCCCGATGAGGATACGTACCAGGATGCTAGATGAGGTGAGAGCTGGGACTGGCTCGGAGGGATCGGCCACATTATGACCACTTGGTTGACGACCTCGGTATCAATGCCCAGGCCAGACGAATGAACCCCTTTACCCATTGGCAGCGCGACGATCCACCAATCCAATTTGATCCATGCAATCCACTGGGCGTAGTTCTGGGCATGCGACGCAACATACAAAGTCGAGAGCATGACCGCCACACTGCCACAGCTCACATCATGACAGAAGGGGCAGAGGAGGCTCTCAGCGCGATGGTTGTCAGTATATAAACGGAGTTTCATAGACAGCAGCGACAAGCAAACGAAGACGGTCAACCTGTCGGGCCAACTCGCCGGTTGCGACGACCACCCCAGTCCGCCCGTGCTGAAGTAGCGGATGGGCACGGCCAGGACGATGCAATGGGCACCACAGGGCGGAGAGTCGCAGGACAAGGCCGTGGCCGAGCCAATCGCCATGCACTGCGGTAGCGTGCCGTCGGCGGGGGGTCCGGGCCACGTGGATTCTGGCATTCAGCGAGAGGAGCCTGATGGAGGAACCATGGCCATGCCGCCAGCATCATCCTATCAATTCGCTACCGTAGCAGGGCCAGGAGAGGAACTCCTCCTCAAAGTCGGACGGCGACACAACAAGAAGGCACGATTGGAGAAAGCAGTGCGAGAAGCGAAGTGCCGGTCGCACCAGAACGACGGTCGCGGACCCCACATCGTCAAATGATCCAACTGGCGGCGGTACCGTAAGCATAGCCTCTTCTACAGGATGACCCCATAGGTCGCCCGCAGGGAGCGGAAGAAGACACGCGCACCAGAAGCTCGTCGGGACCTGGGCGATGCGCAACTGGACACCCCACAGTGGGCGAGACCTGAACGGCCCAGAGCGCCCTCGAAGACCCGACCACTGGCACGACGGGCCTGGCAACTGCGGAGGCAGGCCCCGCACGGAACGCAAGGTCGTGCACGCTGTAGGCATCGGCAGCTTTGTTGCGCAGCCCAAACCTTGGTGAGACTGAGCAAGACTCACGCGGGCGAGGCCGCACCCCCGAGGCGCGGCGAGGCGAGCGGCAGCATGCGAGACAATGGAGCTCCTATCGGGGAGCGTGCAAATGTCGTGGGAACGTTTGGCACGACCAAGTCCTAACGCGGGAGCGCCAACAAAACCAACTATTGCCGAAACTGTGGTTGCCAACCTGCCTGGGTTGTCTACCGCAATCCGGACGGAACGGGTCGTCCACCTTGCGGCGACGCAACGGGTCGTCGGCTCGCGCGGGATATTACGTCCGCGCGGTCAGTCCCTTCACGCCGCACCGCAGCACGAACGCTAATCCCAGGACGAGGGACACTGGATGGATGGGCGTGTCGGAGTTTTACCAGCCGACCGACGAATTCAGATGCTGCCTTCGAGCGAATTTCCAACCGCACACCGGGTTGCACAAGAACGCGATCCAATCAGAGACGAACGGGCTCTACAAGTTCATCACGGTCCTTCCGAGGACCAAGTTTGGTGCCAGGGCTGGAGCATCCAGGTCGCCCCGACATACCAATTGCAGATGTGGACGTACTTGCCGAGATCTGGAGGGCTGAACTAAAAAATGCTGAGGCGGCAGTACGGGTTGTGTCTGTCACTAGGCGGATGTAGGCGTGCAGGGACCAAGGGTGGACCGACGCACGCATCTGCGAGGCGGCTAGGCAAGCGGCTGGTGCCGAGTTGAACTTCGTCCCATCCATTGGGGCGGAGTGGAGCCTCGCCAGCCGGGTCATCCCGCCAGACGCGGACGGCTACATACATGCCCCGACGACAGACCCGCCCCTCCGCATGGATGGAAGTCACGGTGCGACGAAGCTGGCGCTGCTAAGCTTGTTCGCGGGAATGGGCAAGTGCCCATTAAGGCTACACCGGCTGCTATTCCATCACCTAACCAATACCCAGCTCGTGGATTTCGCCTTCGCCGAGACCGACTAGGAGGTGGCCAGTATGGTCGAGAACTTGTGGCGAGAAAGCGGTCATCCATCGATCGTGTGTACGCCTGCACTTCAGCGCGGAGGTAACAACTGGCCCCCACATCGATGGATTGCAAAACATGTATGGGACCTAGCGCGGGAGTACGAAAAAGAAATTGCAATCGTCGACCAATTCCTTGATGCTCTGCCGTCTAACACTCTGCTACTGACCGTTGGCGGGTTTCCGTGCACCAGCTGCTCGGTGGCTGGTAATTATGAAGGAAGAGAAGGGCTGCGCGGACTGGAGTCTGTACACTTCTTTGTCTTTCTCGCCCTTGGGAGCCGCCTGCTCGCGCGCATCCATGCGCGGGGCCTTTCCATCAAAGTCCACATGATGCCTGAGAATGTCGACTGTATGAGGCTGGAGTACCGCGACATGATTAGGAAGTGCTTCGGGGGCATTCCCTATACCTCTATGCAGACCAAAGGTTCCCAAACCTGGTGCAGTGTGAAACGCGCGCGGTTATGGTTCGCCACCTTCCTAGCGCCTGGAGGCGAAATTCTCCCTGTAATGCGGCGCAGGTGGTCACCATGGGACCCGCCATGGGTCCTGCACATGAGCGGCAACATTGCCCCATTCTTACGGTCCAGGGCCAGAAGGCTTGGCAATGGGAAGAAAACTATTCGGGTCACCAACTACCAAGCTCATCCGGAGTATCTAGAACAACTCGGACCACTAATACCGATGGAACCTTGTGACGCTGGGACAGGTCACGAAGAACATCCGGGAGCTTCTCTCCACCAACTATAGCATTCAGCACTACCCCAATGCCAGGGCGGGATTTAAGCAGATTTGCGCACGCACACGTCGGCGCCTGGACCATGAACCAGACTCCGAAGAATTCGTCGACTGGCTCAACGAACAGGCCTCTCGCACGGAATCCGTGCACACAGCGCCATGGAACTGGCTACTGCAATTGGCATCGGAGATAACAAGCACGCGACCTATACGACAATATTGGATTATGTGTTGACCCAAAAGCCCTCATGGTGCGTTCCCACGGTTTTCCACGAACGTGGGAATCCACTCCGGAGAGCGAGCGACAAGCGATGGCATTGTGTGGGCGGCGCTGTCAGTTTGCTAGAAGGGGCTCGGAGGGTTGAGACCCCCTTTCCACGGGACCTCTACTTAAAGTGGTTGGGCCCTGGGTTTCACCCGCACATTGGGGTCGAAAACACGGGCATGACAGCTAGCGCAGACAGCGAATGCATGTCTTTGCAAAGGGTGCACTCTTTACGCCCCTAGACACCCCACGTGGGGCTCCCCCACGACTGCCGCCTGCGGGCCGCTCAATTTTCTTCTTCGCAGTGCGGGACTTTCCAGAATTCCATCCCACGCTGCTGTGTGGCGCCTCTTTCGCTCCTCCAGTTTTTCGTCCTCTACTACCCGGGCAACGCTTTGCGGCGAACGCGCGCTGGATGACCTCGTTAACTCTCTGAAGACTCAGGCGCGACACCCGCGCCCACTAATGTTTTGCTGGAGTTCGCGATACCTCAAAAACGCATAACTGACGCCGATCATGAAAAACGGAATCTCATCTACAAAGCTTCTGCCAGCCGGAGGGCAGCTCGTCTTCAAGAAAGACATTGGACGGAACGAGACGAAAGGGTTTGGGTTCTTGTTGCAGGGGCGACAGGTTTGCGCGGCACTTGGAGTGCAAGGGCCAAATGGGGACATCGTAGGAGGCGTGGTCGTCGTACTCTCCAACGACTACAAGGACGCTCGCACCACCACATTCGTTGAGGGATGCGTTCTACAAGTGGGCGCCAAGTTGGACGGGGAACCCATGCGGTTTATCACCGCGTCCTTGCCGCCGGACAGGATTCGTGAAACTCTGCTCGAGAAACAAGGCCAAATGCCTCCCGCTGATTTTATCCCCACCAATTGGGCTGGCGACATCAACATGCAAGTAGATTTTCCGCGACCTGGCGAGGAGGAGGACGTGGCCACCCGGGTCGACATGCCGGCAGGCAGACGACAGATGTCTATTCGCATTGAAGGCCCTGCGCGAACCAGCAGAAAGGGTGCGCCACGCATCGACTCGGTGGCCACACCTGCCACGCAGGTCGCCATGCACGAGGCGCGGGAAAAACTGTCGACTCCCTCTGTCGGATCACGCTTTTTGCTTTGCTTGAGCCCGCGGAATGCGCTGGCGAAGACAGGCTCCGCAGCTCTGACACCATGGGCCCTC